TTAAATCTGCTCATTTATTAGTCCAATCTTAACATTTATTATCATTGATCTTGTATATCTTTATAATGATTTTTACTGGCCATTTTCCTACAGTGCTTTTTAATTCTATACCCAATTCTACTAGTTCCTTGATTATCACAGTCATATTAACTCTTAAGGAAATTCAGAATAAAGATTTTAAGTTGTCAAGAGAAATAATACATACTTTTCACATACACATGGAACAGAGTTAATGCTGAAGAAATACTTTAAAAATATGATTATTATTCACAAATTTTCTCATAATTTGGCTCCTTCAGTTGGAACCCTAGCACAATTTCCTAGGTCAAGTAGCCTCTTCCTTCTTTCCCATTTGCCAATGGAGATTGCATCTGAGTTTATTCAGTATGGAGAGGCAAATATGTTTAAATTGCTTTTCTCTCATTGCTAGGGCAAAATACAGAACACTCAAAGTTAAAGAGGAAAGGGTTTATCTCCACATTTTGTGGAGATTTTAATCCATAATCAACTGGGTCCATGGCAGGATGGTGTGGTTGAAGGATAACAGTCATGGCAGTGGAAGATAACACAAGCAACAAGAGAACAAGGAGAGGAGCAAGCCTCTTTTCCACCCTTATATGTATGCTATCCACCATTACATTATATGTATTTTAGGGAGGATGTAGCACTCACACTCCCAATCCTGGAATTAGGCAATAAATCAGTCACAAACTAGATTCAGCTACCTCTGAAAAACTGCCTTCTATGACCACAGAAGGCTTTGGGAGGCATAGAAACACAAACCATAACATTCTGCCCCTACCTCTCCCATTAAAGACTCATGTACATTTCTTTATGCAAAATGCATTTTGTTGATTTCTTAACAGTTGCTAAAGTCCTAATAGTTTCAACAGTACTTAGATTGTGCAATAATTGGTAACACAATACGTAGATGTGCAATAATTCTCACCAACAAAGCCATTCTCTGGCCATTTAAACTCAAAACAACATAGCAGGAAATGTGAGTGCAAGATGCTTGTCAAAATCCAAGGTGGAGAGATCTTGCAGATGTTACTGAGAAGTTTGACTTTTATGAGCAATGAGAAGACACACCTCTTACCCAGTTGTCAGACTCTAGAAATACATGTGTTCATTTCTTCATACATTTAAAACCCCAGGGGCCAACCCCATACCACTTTTGCTTTGATCCAGAGACTTGAGGGGTACCATTCTGGCCAGAGCTTTCATTTGGGCTCTCTCAGTTCTGCTACCTTCCATAGGCATTTGTCTGTTATGAGAGTCACACTGCTGATCCTGTTAGCATCATGTTTACATCCTCACAGTTCCATCTTTACAGGAAAAAGGAAAGAGAGAGAGAGACACTCTTTCCTCTTGAGTGAAATAAAATGGTGGGATTGGATTCATTGGAAATATGTCATTTATATACTTGGTCTTTTTTAAGTTACGAGGCCACAAAGAACTGATTCAAATATATAAAAATGATGAAAAAGTATGATTGTATCATGGGACATAGATGATAGGTTGATGATACTAATATGAAAATGTCTAAATATTACTAAAAAGATAAATCAGCAAAGATTATGAGCAATTATCTCACAGAAGAAAATGGCAAAATCTGAATTCTACAATAATCTATATGAACATATGTTTATGTATATATATTAATTAAAACTTTGAGACTTGATATAGGCCAGTCACAGTACTAGTTGCTTTATCTATATTATACAATTATTTATAATTCAAGTTTGTGAGCCATATGACTTTCTTTTATTAAAAAGGAATATGAAGCACAGAGAAATTGTTTTACAACCCCATGGTTACATAGCACAGGTAGCAAGTAAGAGATACAGAATTTTCAAAATGAAACCCCAAGTTGATTGTTTTAAAAGCATGTTTTTAACATATCACTATATTTTTCTTTTCTTAAGGCAGGGTCTTACCATGCCCAGGATGGATTTGAACTCACTGTGTAGATCAAATTGGCCCTGAACTCGCTGCAATCCTCCTGCCTCAGCCTCTTGAGTGCTGGTATTATAGGTGTGTACTACTATGTCCAACATACTACTACATTTATTGATGTAACTTCTTAGCCTTTTTCTACCAATATTACACCTGAATTAGAAGCAGGTAACTCAGAAATGTTCTGTGTCTAATTGTATCTAATTAATTTTTTGCTCACTAGTAAACAAAGAAAATGCATTTAATGAACATTAAGTAAATACCATACATGGTGAAGCTATATATATAGCAGTGTTTGCTAACTTAAGAGATACTTGCCAAATAGAGGAAAGGGAGATAATCCAATGCATGTGTATTTTCACATAGTGGCCTTTGCACATACAAGGACTGAATGCTGTTCCGTGGTGCTTTTTATGCAATAAAGAAAGAAGGTGATGGTAAAGGAAAGGGGAAGAATCATCATTGTCATCTTGGAGGAGCAAAAGTACTTGAGTCCTCAAACATGAGCTGAGCAAAAAGTTAAACAGGTAAACCAATGGAAGGAATACGGGGACATAGAAATAGGTAATGTGAATGAGGGCCTCTTTTTTCTAATTTCGTTTTGCTTCTGTTGCTAAAGCTTGGTTAACTTAATGCCTTTAAGATGGATGAGAACATTCAAGGACCATTGACCATTAAATGTGAGATTTATCCATTCACTGGCTGACATCCTGGTAAAGAATCAGAAGCATGAATTGATTCCCGGGAAGATTTCATGAACGTTTTCCTTTTGATCTGTTGATGGCATCAAACTTTCTTTAGATGGTGTGGAAGATGCAGTTTATGCCACAGGTGGATTTGATGGTAGAATTAACACAACCTGTGAAACCAATCACAATGCCATAGATAAGATGCCAAATAATTTCACAGTTTCCCTTGTTGAACTACTCTCTATCATCATTACTAGTACCTAATTTTTATTCCATGAATCAATCTCAAGATCAATTTAGTTAACTTCTTGGGCATTCTTTATGTTATGCCAGACTGAGAAAACACAATCAGAGGTAGAGCTTAACTGGGGATGTTGATGGTTCTTGCTGCATCTAGAGAGGATCTGTCTAACTTGAGGATCACAGTAGCCAATGCCTTGTGTAACTAAGGTGCCATGGAAAACACACAGCTCTTCTTCCAAACTAGTTTTCCCATGGCAGTCTCAATGGCATCTTAAATCATGGTTCGCTGGTCATAAATAAAACATGATTAAAACCACGGTACAAATCATGATGAAAGTAAAAAACAATCTAGCCTTTTCCCAAAACACAGTATCACATGGAACTGGTTGTGGGCAGTGGCAGAACCAGAACGACATTGAGATTTAGACACTATGTGCACAAAGACCACTGGTATTCTGGGTGTAACAAGATTAGTGGGAACATTTCCTAGCTCAAGAACTAGTATAGGGCAGGAGGAGTCGCAGATTAAATGTGTGTTTCACTCAATGATTTAAGTTCATTGGTGACTTCTGAGAGGCTCACACTCTGTAGCCTTAGAAATGCAAATTCATTGTAAGAATTAATGTTCATCTCTTTCTTTCATGGGAAGTCTGTAGGGGTGTGTGATGGGGCTGCCTGGAATTCCTGAAGAAGAACAGAAGGAGTTAAATGAGGAACACAAAAGCAACCTCATGAAGCCATTATTATTATGTTCCTGGCTTTGAGTTTTGTCTGCCATAGGCCTCAGGACCAGGAGGCTAATGAGCACCCATTGAGGTTTTATCAACCAAGACCTCACCCCAGAAGTCAGTGCTTGGAGGGCACACCCCTGGCTCTGTTCTTCCAAGGACCTCTTTCTTGGGTCTCCCTTCTTTCATTTCCACTTTGTCTCTGTGTGATATTTCTGCACAGTCCCTGGAGGATCTGCTACAAAACCAAAGATTCTACCAATGGTAGGGAGCACAACTGACAGAGAAGATTTAGTCCTTATATTTCTTCCCTATAACAGGGAAATAATGTCAAATCTGGCACCTCTGGGGCCCCAGGCACTGCGAAGTGTATATTGATCTGAACTCAGGGTGGATGACTTTTTAGATGATAAGATGTTGGAGGGGATGCTTTTCTACAGCCATGGCAACAGGTAAGGCTCTAAGATGTTGCTCAGTGGCCTGCATTCTCATGAGTGTCTTCTGGTGCGTATGGATGGGACTCATGGATGTGATGAGAGATCTCTTACTGAGAGCAGCTTACTGATCAGTTGACTTTTAGTATATCAGAAAGGACATTTTTTCTGGATGAACCTGACCTAATCTTGTTGGCCCTTTAAGAATTTGAAATAATAAGATATTCATGGTCCTCAAAGAAGTGCATACTCATGAGTTCCACACCTGAGAGGGAGTGGGCTCTGCTACATGATCATTGAAGAGAGCAGATGAGACCCCAGGCCTAGGTCAATAAGCACAGCTGTGTAGGATCCTGAGCAGGTCCAGCCCAGCTGGGTCTAGCATCTTGACTCATAGCAATGGAGTGATTATAAATGTGTGCTGTTTAAGCCTGTGGGTATAGGGTTAAGATGGGGCTGAACACAAGAACCTGTGGCTGTATTGGGAAAATGCTATGAAGTCAAGATGACACCACAGCTGAGGCAACTGAGGACACAGGCTGCTGACACCCCTATTCAGAGCAACAAAACTTCCAACTTTAGAGATAAGATTAGATCTCCTAATTGGCAAACTTTTCTTCTTGGAGAGGTCTGTGAACTGACTCCCAAGGTCCTGCTCAGTTCTTGTGCTTACCTCAGTATCCCCTTCCTTTTTTTGTAAACCAAATAAAAATGGGCTGCCAGGAGAAGTTCCATGTCTTAACCCCCAGGGAATCTTCAATTTAATTAGAGGGTTTTGATCTTCCTAGAGTCCTAGAATCATACCATTTGTCTCTTTGTTTAAACCTTTGCTGTTCACTCACTTAGTAGATTGGAACTAGACCAAGACTCCAATAATGGTTTGTGAACCTGGTCACACAGCAACAGAAAATGAATTGAGAGGTTTTCAAATGATGGCCAACACTTACCCCACCAGGGAAACCACAGGCAACTTTGCATCCAAAGGTAGAGAGGGCCACGGCAATGCTGAGTTCCAGCAGACTTAAGATGAGCACCATACTTTTCAGACCCTAAAAATCAAAACACAACAAAAAACAAGAGGAAATTCAGGTTCTAACCTTTACCTCTAATTACAATGATCAAAGAAAGGCATTGGAAGCCTTGCTACTAATTCATGTAAATTAATTGGCCAATTTTTTACCTACTGAATGTAATTTATTCTGTTTTCTCAGATAAAATACTCAGTGTTTCCCCTCATTTAGTACTTTCCAGTGTCATCGTGGGCTCAGAATGTGAAAATACTTTAACAAGATGGTGGTGGAAATGGCAATATTAACTACTGTCTTAGTTTTTTCAGATGCCAGCAATTCCATATTGATGTTATAATTTGATCTTCCACCTTGATGACTGTAGACAAGATAATGATTGATTTAAGATGTTCACATTCTACTCTCCAGCACTTCAGAATATGTCAGATGATATAGTGAAAAAGGAATTAAATTTGCTGATAAAAATAAACTGCTTATTAGCCAACATGGTAAGATTATCCTGGATTCTTCAGGTGAATCCAAAGTAGTCACAGCATGCTTTATATATCAAAGCAAGGGTAAGAGAAATAATTTGGTTTAGACTAATGACTGGTTTTTAGTAAAAACTAACTCAAGAGATTATTTATTGTAAATATTTTTCTGTTCTCAATTGCTGTCAACTTCCTAAAGTAACTCAGTGACTTCAGAAAGTTACCTTTTGTTTCTCCCACAACTGTCAGTTTCTAGAAGTGTTTCCACCATGAGAAGATGAAGACTCACCTCTGCAATGGAAAAGCACATGGGAAGAGTATATACTGTCTGATTATGGTTAAGGAATGGATAGTAAAATGCCAACACATTCATACTGATTGCCATGATTATGAACCCTACGGCTGCTACCACGGAACTGGTGATGTTCAGTCCTATACTGCTCTGGATCTGAAAAGAAGTGAAACTTCATTAAACAACACAAAATCATATTCAGACATATCTCTGCTCATCACTTTAAATTTTCCACTTCTTATCCTACACATTTCATACTCAATACTTTGATAATTTCAATAGTCATTATGCTAGATATTGAAAGTTTTGATGCTTGAAAGTTTTGGTTTATGTTTGTTTGCTATTATGTAGTAATCTTACTAGAAATTTCTTTCATTAAAATTTCGTATACTTTTTGGATGCAATTGAAACGAATGCAGCAAAAAGTCAGTAAGTATTAAGACATTTGTACTTCGTACTATTATTTTCATGGGCAGGGATTTCAAGCTTTCAAGGATTGTCTGATTGAAGCCACTGTTATTTCCTGTCATCAATCCCCTTTATCTTCAAAAACACTTTATCTCCAACTACTTTGTCCATGTATTCAGTCTTATTCTAGTAATTCTATTATTAGATAATTATTTAATAAAGTTTTTGAAAGACAACTTCAACCAGGAAAAACTTACACTTTCGTATGATTAAAAAAAACACACACACACACTCTGGTTTGCAATTATCTCTGAATCTTTAGCTTGTCCTTTTATGTGGTGATTGTTTCCTTTGCTCTGCAGAAGCTATTTAGTTTTATGCAGTCTTGCTTACTTTCATTTTATTGTCTGAATTTTGGTATAAAAATAAACAAACAAACAAACAAACTAAAAGTATCAGGGTTGCAACATCATTTCCAAAGAAAAGTCCAGGAGTTTTCTCCTATCTATCTTAAAGTTTTGATATCAACTTTTAATAATTTTATGTGAAAATTAAATAATTTCAACCATCATGCTCTTGAAGATTCTTGATGGCTGTGTCTTGTTATGGTTGATACATTTTGTCAATTTGAGAAGTTTAGAAGTTTAAGTAAGAGACTTAACCAAGTGCTATGGTTCTTTGTAAATATCCTCATTCCCTGCAAATGAGGGCAAGCAGGTTATGTGAGTGCTACACCCACCCTGGAGTGGGGAAGTGGCCTGCATACAATATAAGGAAGGAAAAAGGCTTGCTCTCTCCTCTCTTTTGCTCTGGCTGCTTTTGCTGGCTGATGCCTTGAGGTGTTGCCCCAGTGCCATGTCACTCTGCCTTGGGCCAGTTGATGATGGACTAAAACTTCCACAAAGGTTGAGTTAAATGAACCTTTCCTTCCTTCATTTTGGGGGTCAGGTGTTTTGTCCCAGCAATGAGAGAAAAGTAACAAAGACACATCTCTTTGGACTTTTACCTGAAATACAATCAAATAACTTGTTGCACAAAACATATGACCTATGATTAATTGTGATTGTTTTGTATCCATAAGTTAGTTTGCAGAAAAGGGCATCTTCATTATACTGTTTTGTTTTTCATTTGAATAATTTATCTCTCCATTTACTTTATATTGTTTCTACAAAGGATTTTCAGGAAGAAGGATTGTAATTTTCATAACTAGAAATTATAAACATTTTGTAGCAAAATATACATATACATATGTATACAATAGATTTTTATACATTAGACATATGTAGGAAATAGGTGTATTTGATTTATATACTCATTGATTTTGTGTATGTTCTTTAGATGTCTTGACACAATAGGGACACCTATGAATAATTATATTTACAGATTTTCCGTCTTTTCCTCTTTCACTTCTACTCCTTACTCAATTACTATGTTGAGATTTCTAGCACATTCCTAATAAATATTATCTGCAAGCTATACATATATATATATATATATATATATATATATATATATGCAAAGAGATCAACTTTTAAAGTATGTAAGGAACCCACTGAAATCAACAGCAAAAAATCAATACCTAAAACCTGGGCAAAGGACCTTGTTTTATCCAATTTTCCATCATTGTGATGAAATACTTGAGAAAATTAACGGAAAGCTAGAAAGACTTATTTAGGGTCACAGTATCAGAGGCATCAGTTTGTGGCCTGCAGGCTTCTTACTGCGCACTGGAGGTGAGGTAGAATAATCACAGCAGAAAAGCATGCTGGGGGAGCCTTCTTTTCCCATTGTGGGCAGGATATGGAGGGGGGAGCAAGCTCTGTGGTTGGGCTTCCTCCTCTTTCCATTGTTGTCCCATTAGAACACAGATTATTGGATGGACTACCCACAGTGAGGATGGGACTTTGCTCTCAGCTTACTGTCCCACATGCCAATCGTCTCTGGAAACCTTCCCCACACAGACACTTTCAGAATCATTCTTTATGAATTTTCTAGGCATTTCTCAACCTAATAAAATTGACAATCAAGATTGACTTTCAGAAAGCTGTTTCCTAAAGAGCTGAGCAATTTAATGAAGAAATGGCCATCATGACTAAGCACAAGTAAAATTCAAATCAAAGCCACAATTATATGTCATGTCTTAGTTTTGTAGATGGCTTTAGTAATATAACAAAAGATAGCATGCATTGGTGAGAATATAAAAGAAAATAAACCCTTGGAAAATGTTAGTTGAAGTGTATCGGTATAACTATTAATGGAAACACCATGGAAAGTCAAAAAGTTAAATGTAGAGTTACTCTGTGACCCAGATTCACTCTTCTCAGCATGTGTTCAAAGGAAAGGAAAACATCACTTCCAACAGACTTGTGCATGCCCTTGTTCATTACACACTTTTCATTATCACTGCAGTCAGAAATTGAGATAGATCTACATCTATCTATATGTTCACCTGTGCCACAGCACGTATGTATAGAACATCAGATTATTATTCAGACTTAAAAAGGAAGGAAATCTTGGCAGTTACCCCATTTAAGAACCTGTACCTATAAAATGAAATAAGCAAAACACTTATGTGTAAAACCCACAGAATTCGAATTCATGGATGCAGAGAGGAAATATGGGACATGGGTAGAAATGTGTAAAGTTTCAGTTATTAGATGCAGAATATACCTCACGATGATATGAATCAGTAATGTATTGTCTACTTGAAAATTGCCAATAAAGTAGATTTAAGTGGTTTGACAGCAGGAGAAAAAGTTCACTACTTGATGATACATTAGAGAGTCTAATAGTGGTAGTGATGTATCTATATTTATCTGACTAAAAACATAATAGAATGAACACGTAAATATATACATTTTCATCTAAAATGATTTTAGAAAATAATATAAAGTTACATTGAATCTGTTTCTACTTTGGAAGCGTACACGCTTGTTCAATAAATCCATGTTGAGTAGGAAAAAAATAAAGTGGAAGCACACTCACCAGTCCTTTTGATGTTCTTATTCCTGCTGCAATTGACAAGGATCCTGAAATAATAAACTAGGAATAAAAGAAAAAAATTATGTAAACTTCAAACAAATATATTCAATCATAACTGAAATCTATTCATATATTTGACAGGTATGTTAAACAACCCATCTACCTTAAAGAACTAAGTGTGCAAAATAAACCTTTCTTTTCCCAGAAGTGACAGAGAAATCCTAGCAGATGGATTTTGGGGGAAATTTTATTGATCTTTTAAAGCACATCTAGTGGTAATGGTATTAAAGTCATCTCAATATTGAATAATAATCCTTCCAAACTGCAAATAAGAACTGACTCTAACATGGTGTTAAATTGGATAAAATAAAAAAAACCAAGAACTATTTTCATTTGAATTGAATTTAAATTTTGTAAATAAAATAATAATGGAGACAAACTTAAATCTTATCACATGATGAGTAAAATGCTAGTTTGTTTCCATCCGTTGAGCAGTTATTTTCCCTTTAGTTTATATGGCTAGTGTCAACTCATTCAAACCTTCTGCTTAAAATATGTAACTCATCTGGAATTCTAGGTTTGCTTTTCATATTTAATAATAGCAATATTAAATTTATTTTACTACCATAATTTATGAAGAAGTAAAATGGTTTGATACACTTTCTCCATAAATTTCTAATGACAAATGATAGAAATAATTAATATAAACAACTGGATTTATGCAAAAATCTAATAGAGGGAATCATCACATTTTATGAAATAAATCATGAACATGTGTGAAATGTCTTCAAAAACACATATATATTCAGTGCTAAAAATTATTACAATTGATGAAGTTAATAGATTAAGGGAAAAATTCACATTATAATTGTGATTTTTAATAGGAGAAATGACTTAAGATTTGTTGTGTACAGGTACAAATTTCCTACGATGAATGTGATCATTATGTATGTCAAAACTGTACTAATGAAATTAATGAAAAAATAAGACATTTAATACAATTCAACATTGTAACATTACTGATTAAATATGAAGAACTGTAAGTTCTATACTATGGTAGAACATCTCAATCAGTACAATCCTTTTCATCTTTAATAGGGAAACTCTAGGTCCAGTCAAATTAACATGAGAAACTATGGCACTCTATTCTGATGCTATTAATCACAATCTTTATACAGGAATATATTTGGAATGACTAGTTAAAGTTAATATTTAAATATGAATATAAATAGTGAATTTGCAAGTGAACACTAAAAACAAATTATCAGTTAAAAACTATTACAGACTATAAAAATTTAGTATGATAGATGGAGTGTTATGCATGGAGTACATACACATGTAAACAATATTTGGGTTTATTATTAAAGTTAAGATCAATCAAGCTATTTTATTTACCATAGCAGAAATATACAGAAATGGGCCTCACAATCACAGGTTTTGACTCTGCCAAAAGAGGGCTCATTTAACCTGATCAGCTGTGGGTTTTAATTTAGGAATTCATAAGAGCCCCAAAGCCAATCCCTTGTGGACATGCACACATATACATGTATACACAGAGTGTACATATGAAAACATACATAGTATGTTTAACTTACTTGTGACATCTCTACATGCTATCTCAAGAAACAAATTTCAAAAAATTAACAACGAATGTTAACATTACATGTAAATAAAGCTTTGCAATGCTCCAAAACCTTGCAAAAGAAAATTGGAACAAATAATATGGGTATAATTTTACAGGCTTCTAATAAAGGACTTATATGATGACCAAAAGTGAAAAATGAGAGAAATGCTTAATTTGTTCTGAATATTTCTACATTGCACATGATAAGGAAGAAAAACGATATAATTTATAGGCAAGGTTTGAAACTCAGAAAGGACAATAGAGTTTAGCAGCAAAAGTGATCCCCTTTAAGCTAAGGCTCTTCTGGAGGGGCATGCCTACATTAGTCTACATGACTGCTCAGCTGACAGACAGCTCCCACCTCTGCTGAACCTGCAAAGGATGGCCTCGAATTCACAAACTGAATTCCAGTGTGGCTTTGGAAAGAAAGTGAAACAGTCCTCAGGTAATGAGAGTTGTTAGATGATGCATTTTCCAAATTATATTGACCCTATTACGTGAGTTCTGGTTCTTTTACTTAATAGTAGTGTGATGTTGTGATTAAGTTAATTGAAGCTGCATTTTCTTCATTCATAGAATGAAGATAATGAGAAACCCTTTCTCAAAAGTCTGCTGAGTTTTGGAAATCATATTGCACATACATGGCATTCAGTAGAGCACCCAGATCACAGTGAGGTTTGCTAAGTGGTATCCTTGGTGTTAGCAGTACTGTATTTGATACTTAAGATGCATAGGACCCTGGAAGTAGGTCAGCACTTGCTGTCTTCAGATCTTTCACCTCTCCTGGAAACAAGAAGGAGAAGAAAAAGGCGGAACTGCTATCATGCTCTGCTGTATCCTCACTTTCATTGGTAAGTGGAAGACTCATAACACTCAGATTTGGTTTCCCAATTCTAACACATGCCCTTTATACAACTAATTATTCTTTCCTTAGCAGACAGAATAGTAGTCTGTTTCCATCAATTAAGCAATAAATACCTCTTATATTCTATTTATTTTTTCAATCTTGAACAATTTTCTTACATCTTAACTTGGGGGAAAGATTCTAAAATTCTAGCTTTAGTTTTAATTGCAACTGTTATCAAATTTAAATGAAAATGAAATTTATCAAGGAGTTACTCCAGCTATGAAGAGTGTTTGCTAAGATTTGATTTGGCAGTTTGAACACTATAAATGGCTGGTACAACATGTGCATCTAATTATTCCTTGCCAAATGCTCCTCTTTTTGTTTCCCCTGACTTTCATAGAAGTGGGAGCCTTTCCAAGCCACATAAGCAGGTCTGGGTGAGATCAGTAAAGACAAGTCTGTTATCCATAAATGATCTTAGAAAATCACATAAAATATTCATGAATTCAATGTGTCTGATCTTATTCTATTTTGGAAGTCCTTGCAGCACTGAGTTGACTCACCTGGAAATAGTGGAACACAGGGTTTTTACTGTGAAATGAAGGTTGGTTTCAGTCTTATGGCTTTGCAAGTTGGGTTTTGGTCGCATGCCTCTGTCTTACACCCTGAGTCATGCACATGAAATGATGCATCTACCTAGCTTTCTATGAGTTTTATATTGTTATTACTATCATAAGTACTAGAAAACCAAATCAAAGAAACATAAGATACCTTTCTCAGATTTATAGCCACATGGGATCATGTCAGGACAAGAATCCAATGTTAGGATATTAACAATGAGGTCACCTTCAATGGTCTCAAAAAGGGTTTTACTCACCATCACAGAGCCCCAGATTGGGTAACCAAGGCCGTAGAAAATGGGATGTGCATTAAAAATTGACATTATGATACTCATTGTCACTCTTCCCAATCCAAAGTTCATCAGAGCAATCAGAATCTGCATGGTCTAGAAATGGTGAAAAATAATGTTATTATCTATGACAAAATGATGCCTGTGCCAGCTGTTTTCCAACTACTTAATTTTTTCCATTTTCCATCTTTGGATAGAGTCACATCCCCTCTGCGTAGTCTGTTTTCCCTTTATTTCACACAAAGAGTTGCTCAGAAGATGTGTCACTGCCTCTGTAATTTCAGATCCACAGGGAGTTTGCAGAAAGTCGCTCAGAGATATTTTTAAGCCCATAGTGCTATTTCATTCACATTGGTTTCTCTCTTTTGTCATCTTCCCAGAGGTGAGTCACCCAGGATTTACAAAGCATTTATTCTATCAAGGAGCAATACATTTAGGAAAGGAGGCAATATACCCAAGGAGCAAAACAGGGCAGATTGTACATTCACAGAGTGTGGGGACTGAGAGCACATTGTAATTACAGAGTCCGAGGTGCGAGAGGTTTGTGTATCCCAGGGTGTAAAAAGGGGTCTATATTAAATGCACTTGAATTTAGCCACAAGGCTGAGAAGGGATAGTATTTATATAAAATAAAATGACATCAATTTATAAATGAAAACACATACACATTTTCCTAGCAAATGTAGTGCTTGGAGTTCCAAGGCACATATTAGGTAAAAAGAAAGATCTAGAAATCCATCACCCAATTTTCCAATTTAGGACACCCAAAAAAGAAGAGCAAATCAATGCCAAAGTAAGCAAGGAAGAAATGTAAAAATTAGATCAATAGTCAATGAATTGAAAATAGGAAATCAATTATAAAATTCATACAACTAAAAGCTAAAAAACTGTCTTTGAAAGGTAAATGAGTCAGGCATAGTGCTGGATACCATAACCCCAGCACTCAGGAGGCCAAACAAGAATATTGCCAGGGGTTTGAGGTCAGCCTGGGTTACATAGGGAGACTCTGGTTCAATAAATACATAAAAAATAAAAATACAAATGAAAATAAGATTGTAACCAGACAAATTAGAAAAAGCTTATTGAGGACATAATAGCCTAGGGTGGGGCAGAGGAATACCAATCCCATAAGACATTAACAGGAAATAAAAGAATGCCGTGAACAACTCCATTCCTCAGTATTTGGGGCTCTAGATAAGATGAATTTGAAAGGCAGTGTGTTGCATAATTCCAATTGTGTGAGTTTCCAGAAGAAACAAACTACAGACACAATAAAAGGTCAGTGGATTCTGGGTTTAGGAACAGCAAGGAAAGGAAGAACAGACAGAACACAGGATTTTCAGGGAAAGGAGACTTTATGTGATACTATAATGATGGGTATATGTCCTTCTGTATGGCTCAGAACCTACAAGGTGAACAACAGAAAGAGTAAATCCTCATATAAGTGTGCACCTCTGCCAGTGCCACATGTCAGTGTAGGTTCATCTTTTGGAGCCAACACAGCATTCTGAGGAGACCACTTGAGGTCGGAAGATGCAAATCTGGGGGCAGTGGAAACAGGAGATATAGGATTTTTTCCTGGTTTTCTATGAAGCTAAAACTTCTATTGCACAGCCTAAGATGCACATGAATATGTTTAAAATTAATTGTGGTATATGCTAACATATCCCATATGGCATAAATAATAATTATTTTCAAAATGAAAGTAGAACAATGAAAAATTGAAGTGTATAATGTATACACAATGATTTTTTCCCTTGCTGATTTCAAATTCAAGATAGGGATAAACCCCAATCATCAAGGAACTTTTCCCTTCTCTGACATTTTTCTCTTTCTCAATTCTCCTTTAAATTTAACCACATTGACCACAAATCCAGAGAGAAGTGCTTGAAGAAAGGAAGCTATTCTATCTTCTGCAGAGCAGGCTATGAAATGGTTCCAGAGAAACAGGAACAGCACAGGTCCTTAGCTACCAGGCGGGCACTGGGGCAGTGCATACAGCCTTTTCTGTTCCTGTCTTTTTCTTGAGAATGACCAGCAACCTAAAATAGACCTGAAGTCACTCTACTTGAAATATAACTAAACTGGAAGCATGATGTGGTAGAACATATTATCATTTCCCAATGATGAGGCCTGAGAATCAAATTCTGATGATTTTCTACAGGTTGATGTGTTCCAAGACCAGAGGAATAGAAATTTGGCACTAGGGTGTTCAAGTGAGAGTTCACAACAGCACCACTCTCCTCCCAAATCTGCAAGTGATTTACCCCCAGGAGTTTGGGTTTCCCTTTCAAGAACTTCTCTGCCATCAATCTCCACCCAAAGGAGTGTTGAGCAGCCGGTGACTCCAGTTGTTGCAGAGCAGGGTTGGTGTCCATTGAGGTGGATTCCACTCCATGCATGGTTGTTATGACAGCAGACTAAGAAATGCAGTTGAGGGTGTGGTCCTGGGAATGACAAGAAAGGAACATGGCACTCTGAGGTCATTTGTCCTGTGAGGACAGACTTCTCTAAAATTCTTTTCCTATATCATAATGGAGCCCAGGGAATAGAAGACGCAACATGGTAGAAAGAATGGGAGTCTATGTTCAGAACTCCCTGAACCTTCTGCTTAAAAGTTGACAGGAGGGAAGCTTAGTAAGATTCGTCAAGGTGCAGTTGAGTACATCAACTATGCTTCTGAGCCTCCACAGAGGTCTTAGGTTTGGACACATGTGCCCTCTCACTCGTAGCACAACATGAAAAATTTTGCCATGTCCAAGTTTGCTCTATTCAGGAAAAGAATTCACAGTTAGATGGAAAAAAGTTTACACGTGATTTATCAAGAGAACCACAGTGTTAGATAACTATCAAAAATTGTAAGTCAAAAGAGGGAAAGTTAACTTCATGGAAATGTAGAGGAAAAATAAAATAATATACTAATCATTTAAAACATTATATATTAATATCTATTAAACAGTATGCAAAGCTGTGTAAAAGAAAAGAAGAATATGATAGAACATAAAGTTAAAGTAAATTACTCAAAATTTAGAGAAATATAATAATGAAATAAAGTAGAAATTCAAGTTAAACAAAACCAAAATTAGTTTTTATTTTCTTTTCACCCAGAATATTTCTAAAAATGGCTTGGAGAAGCAGATTTGCAACCCACTTATTTACAAAACCAGAAAATAACTAAAATTCCTATACATTAGAGGAAATGATTGATAAAGATAAAGACTGCATCAGGAAGAACTGGTGCAGAATTACAGAGACAGAGTCACATCAGCACACTGTGGCCCCAGGCTTCAGAACATATTTACTGAACATCAGAGAATTCCTAAAGAATAAAATGTAAAATATTTATAGACCTGGGAGGGAATACACTAGTTGATAAGTATTATCTCGGAAACAAAGTTCTGAGTAGCAAGGAGAACAGCAGTAGAGGAGAAATCACCTCCTGGCAAAATTGAATTTGTTAAAGTAATCCATTTTCTAATACATTGGAGGCCACAAAGAAGGAAGCTGATTTCTTCATTACAAATCTCCTAGCATGGCACGGATTTCCTCATAACAAGCAAAGATTTCTACAATGGATAAATTATTTCTCTTCTCTGGATTTCATGCATCTCATCTGAGGAAAGAGCTCATCAGCACAATTCCTCCAAGCTTTTCCTTTGTCTCTACAATGCTAGTCATCTTCATGGTGACTTCCATTGGTGAACATCCTCATGAAAAGCTTTTGTTCCTGGCTTGGGTGATCTGATAATGGTCCTAGAGATGACTGGAAAGGTATGAGTTGTCTCAAGATCAGTCTAAGTGCTAAGAATGAGGGCCCTGCCGTTACATCATCCCCATCAAAATATGCTGGGGACAGATATTTTTCTAACTGTTCAGTTATAAAAATAACAAATCAGTGGCAAGGAATAAAGAACATGGAAGAAGAGATATACAGAGTATTCAATAAACAATTAGTTAAAGGTCTGAAATATTGCATCCATTCATTTGACAGCCTGGGGATTTAGAGAACAAAAGTAACTAAAACAACCATGCAAGGTACCCAGCTTTGTTCTTTGTCCTTGCCTTTACTGGCTCCAGCCTTTATACCAAAGACTGTTCCTCAAATATTCCAGGTATACATTTAGGGGTGCACTCAACCCCACCTAACCCAGCATGGAACCATGGCTTGATTCTCTCTTACTCAATTCCCAGGTGTGCTAGAACTATCCATGAGAACCCATCAGCCCCAAAGCTTAGGCAGGCAGCTCCCGCACCCACCTCCTCCAGCCCGTGAGATGTGCTCTGTGTCGGAGGAAGGCCAGGCTCTAGCAGAGACTCTAGTCCTGCATGCAGATGCGGTCAGTCAGGATGCCTCACACTTCTCTCTCTCTCAGCCTGCCAGCTCCCAACCCTTTTTATGGTCCTGAAGGCTGTGTTGAAATGGGAGGATTTCTGAGGAAAACAACCAGTTCCTTTTTGGTATTGTGGTGGACCAAACCCTGGCCTTACAGTTCCCTTTTTAGATTGGATAGGTGGACTGTGCCAGGGTCTGTAAAATGTGTGCATGTGTTGTATGCATGCATGCATGTATGTATCTGGAATGCAGTTTGCTGAGAAAGCAGTAGCTAGCTGCCTCTCCAGTGTTTCAAATGACAATAATAATGGTTATTTCTGTGGTTATGTAGCCTGTGCTGCAGACTCTGCTCACTATTTATGCAATGCTGGGTTAGGAAGATAATTTCCCAAAGGCCTATATTTGGCCTCAGCCCATGGAATATTGGGAAGTGGCTAGACCTTCAATATGTGGGATGCCATGGGAAGAACCTAGGTCACTGGGAGTGTGGCCTGGAAAACAGCTTTGAAAACCCCACCTCTTTCTGTTTTTTGTTTTGTTTTGTTTTGCTTCCTGGCTGCTATGAAGTGAGCAGATTTGCTGAGTTACTTACTTGCACAGTGCTATTCCACCATGCCACAGCGCCAGAAGCCAGGGACCCAACCAACAATGCATTGAGCCTGAAAGTATAAGTCATACAATACCTTTTCTCTTTTAAGGTGATTAACCCAGGAATTTTGGTACAGTCATGGAGAGCTGACTCAAAGGTAGGCAGAACTGATTCAGTGGCATTTAGAAGCCTATAGAAAATATCTCTACAATATCTCTACAAAGCAACTGTAGTAAAATCAACATGGTGCTGGAACCAAAACAGAGCTGAAGATCAGTAGAATAGATTAGAAGATACAACCTCAACTGCAAATACACTCAACCACCTTGTCTTCAATAAAGGGGCCAAATATGTTCACTGGGAGAACGACAGTCTCTTTCAAAATGGTGCTGGAAAAACTGGCTCCCATATGTCGAAAACTAAAACTAGACCCATGCCTATCACCATGTACTAAAATAAAATCTAAATGGATCAAAGATCTAAATATTAAAACAGAAACACTAAATCTATTGGAAGACAAATTGGGTAAAAACCTTGAAGATATAGGAGTAGATAGAGAATTCATGAACAGGACTCAAACTGCACGGGAAATACTTCACAGAATCAAAAACTGGGATCACCTCTTATTAAAAGGTTTCTGCACATCAAAAGAAGTCTCCAGTGTGGTGAGAAGAAAACCCACAAACTGGGAAAAAATCTTAATAAACTGCCCCTCAGACAAAGGACTTCTATCTAAAACATACAAAGAATTAAAAAAAAATCGGACCCCCAAAATTCAAAGACCCAATCCAAAAATGGGCATCTGAGATGAATAAACAATTCTCAGATGAAGAAATACAAATGGCAAATAAATATATGAAAAAATGTTCATCATCATTAGTCATTAGAGAAATGCAAATCAAAACCACACTGAGATTTCATCTCACTCCTGAAAGAATAGCCAAGATCAGAAAACCACCAACAACAAATGCTGGAGAGGTTGTGGGGAAAAAGGAACTCTACTGCACTGTTGGTGGGAGTGTAGACTAGTGCAACCATTGTGGAGGTCAGTCTGGAGATTTCTCAGAAAACTAGGACTGGAAGCCCCTTATGACCCAGCTATACCACTTCTAGGCATATTCCCAGAAGAACTGAAAGCATCATACCACAGTGATATATGTGCACCCATGTTTATAGCAGCACAATTTGTAATAGCCAGATCTTGAAAACAGCCTAAGTGTCCATCGACTGAAGAATGGATAAAAAAGTTGTGGTATTTTTATACGATGGAGTACTACTCAGCTATAAAGAATGACCGCATTGATACATTTATAAATAGATGGACACAGCTTGAGACCATACTCATAAGTGAAATAAATCAAACTCACATGTATAAATACCGAATGGTTTCCCTAGTGTAAGAAATGATAACAATACATAGAAGTACGTGGTAATCATGATTCCCAGTCATATTGGTTTGAAGTCATATAATGTTTTCACTGATTATCCGCAATGGTTTTAACTTGGGTTGTTCGATTTTAGTATCTATGATAGCAGGAATAGCTATTTTGAAGAAGGCAACACAACATAAAAGCTAGTGCTGATTTAATATCATCTTGTTTTAATGTCCTATCAAGCTGTAGTACATCTGTTTCCACTGGTTTTAACATGTTGTATCTTACTATATTTCACTATATGCATAGTATAAACAAAACTCTTTATAGACAAAGAGATAATATAGAAACCATTGTTTGTTTTCTATTAGCAGGTTCTAAATACACTGTAATTCTTGCATTCTCTTGAAAGGCTTCACACTGTCTAGGTATGCTTTATATTATAGCACGTGAAGTTACACTCAAATAATTTAAGGAAAGAGACACTATGGTGACTACTATTATGTTAGATTATCTGGTGGTGGAACACAATGATGCTTGAATTGCTCAGTTCTGCCCTTCATTGTTCTATTACAATATCCTCTCTTATCTCAATCTTCCCCCTATTTTTAAATTAATCTATTTTCTTGCATTTTTTAATTAAGGGAAAACTAAATTAAAGAATAACGGGACATATTATAGTAACTTTTTGTTGTCCTATTAACCTGACTTGAACCCCAGTATTGCTCTCCCCATCTTGTTCTGTCTGATTATTATATATTCTATTTTGTTTGATAGTATCAAGTTTGAGGGTATAGGCAATCACTTTGAAGGCAATAAGATATACTATGATGCCCAATATGGATTGACTATCATCCTTTTTTTTTTTGAAGTCCTGTAAGGTCCTCAGTGTAGATTTTATTGGTTTTGTTCCATATTGTTTTGATCAATTCTATTATTCCTGATGATATAGACAACTCAGTTTGAAAATAGCAAGAGGCACAATGGTAACCACTTTTGATCATCTGGTATTCTATTTTTGCATCACGTGCTATGCCCATCCTTCTGTTCTAAATGACTCTGTTTTGCTTAGTCACATTTGTTTTTATTGTCTTCAAAAAGTAATAAGAACCGTGAGAGTAATTAAACCCTAAAAGTCTAATTGTTA